CGGAGTGTGGAAATTAGGAAAAGGTGTGGAGTTAATAAAAGTATTGGTCAGAGGGCAGAAGAGGGGTTGTTGAGGTGGTTTGGTCATTTAGAGAGAATGGATCCAAGTAGAATGACATGGAAAGCATATAAATCTATAGGGGAAGGAAGGCGGGGTAGGGGTCGTCCTCAAAAGGGTTGGAGAGAGGGGGTAAAGGTGGTGTTGAGGGCGAGGGGTTTGGATTTCCAGCAAGCGTGCGTGAACGTGTTAGATAGGAGTAAATAGAGACGAATGGTACTTAGGACCTGACGATCTGTTGGAGTGTGAGCAGGGTAATATTTAGTGAAGGGATTCAGGAAAACCGGTTATTTTCATATAGTCGGACTTGAGTCTTGGAAATGGGAAGTACAATGCCTGCACTTTAAAGGAGGGGTTTGGGATATTGGCAGTTTGGAGGGATATGTTGTGTATCTTTTTATGTATATGCTTCTAAACTGTTGTATCCTGAGCACATCTGCAAAAACAGTGATAATGTGTGAGTGTGGTGAAAGTGTTGAATGATGATGAAAATATTTTTATTTTGGGGATTTTCTTTCTTTTTTGGGTCACCCTGCCTCGTTGGGAGACGGCCGACTTGTTGAAAAAAAAAAAAAAAATTCAGTAGTAATTAGCCCTTCCCCATAACAAAACATATCCAAAATATATCCAACAGTATGTGTTATAAATAAGCACACATATAAGTATACCTTTAGCAGGCTTTCTGCTGACAGTTTTAAGAAGTGCCAGGTCAACTTTTGTATGCAAGATGGTGTCACTTGCTTATTGTACTGACAAAGACAAATGATTTACTAAACACAAAATTTCAATCTTGAATGACTGTCTAGGTAACTCAATGGACTTAACACTGATAAAGAACATGTGAAATCTTGTGGAGAGTAAACTTTGTTACATGGATGTGTCCACTATCCCCAAACATTCAAGGTGTGGGGAAGGTACTGACTTTTCTATCCCTTATCGATTCCTACAAGATACAAGGAGTGCAACAAGAGGAAGGGTAATCTGACAAAATATTAGGTAAGGTGATTAACCCACACCTATTTCAATATTTTATGTAAAAAATAATTTATGATAACCATTCTCATTATCTGTGTGATGAGTTTATGCACGTGCACAAATATGACACCTACTGTAAATATGGCATTTTTTTTTTTTAACACACTGGTTGTTTCCCACCTAGGTAGGGTGACCCAAAAGAAGAAATGTTTTCACCATTATTCATCTTATCACTGTCTTGCCAGAGGCATGCCAATATTACAGTTTGAATGATCCTCTAAAATGTAGAGTGCAGGAACTGTATTTTCCACCACCAGAACTCAAGTACTGCAAACCAGTTTCCCTGAATCCCTTCACAAAATGTTACGAAGCTCACACTCCAGCAACTCGTCAAGTTCTATCTAACACACACACACACACACATACATACATTTGTCTCAAAGTAATACATAAGCTGTAAAGAATAATTCCACTAAGATTTTCCTCTCATGTATTTTCAGATAAATTTATCAGCATTCTTCATGGCATTTAAAGTGTAGACATTTGTGATTTAAATGTTAAAAATGAGAAAAACTTCCAAGCAAATTCAGTTCCTGAGATTCTGAACAGTTTGCAGCTGATGTACTGAATCTTATTTGATGATCGCAGGGCACATACATACACTTTTATAGAAAGACTAAATTTTATCAAGCAACTTTCAAGTTGTACACAGAACCTAGTATACAGTGCTTATCATTAAAGTATAATGGGTGGAAGGCACTGAACATAATTTCATGTCCAAAGTAATACGCTACCCTGGTACATCTGTCAATGAGACAAAAAATTAAACTGGCCTGGCAACTCTAAGTGGGATGTCTCAGGATTTCCCATGGCCACTGGCTGCATCTAAAGTGCTTTCTGGGCTTGTGAGGTGGAAGGTTTTGTGTCCGTTGTACCCCCATACTGTGTGGTCTTGAGGGCGAAGTTTGTCGGGTATTTTTGGCTATTGGTGAATTAATATTGGCAAAAGTTAGTCACTGACGAAAGAGATAATGGTAGAGACCATTGGATTAGATAAGGCAGGTCATCAAATGAAGGAAACAGCAAAAGCCAGTGATGTATTTGGGTGTCCAACAAGGACCTGGTTGCATCAATTCCTCATGGACAGTGTTCATGATACGCTCACATCACCCATGAAGCCTAGAAAAGCATTGCCACTAACATTAACTGTACTACCGTATCTAGAAATGGTCCATTATCAAGTTCCCAAATCTTTCACTCAGTGTGGTGCAAGGTTTTCATGGAAGACTGTGCTCCTTGCCACACCACAAAATCTGTTGTTCATTTGCTTCATGACTGTGAGCATCCTTCTTCAACAACTGGCTAAGAAACTTCCCAGATGAAACCCCCACTGAGGACCTCTGGACCAAGATAGAGAGATCTACTAAAGGAAGAATATCAGCGCATTTCCCCAGCACTAGGATGCCATCCACAAGTCCTAGAGGAATTCACTCCATGAAACCCTGAAGAATGTGTGTTAATCACATCCTGGATGGTTAAGAAAAGATTTCGTTCAGATTTTTAACCCCGCAGGGTTAGCCACCCAGGATAACCCAAGAAAGGCAGTGCATCATCAAGGACTGTCTTATTTCCATTGGGGTCCTCAATCTTGTCCCCCAGGATGTGACCCACACAGTCGACTAACACCCAGATACCTACTTGCTGCTAGGTGAACAGGACGACAGGTGTAAGGAAACGTGTCGAAATGTTTCTACCCCAACAGAAATTGAACCCGGGCCCTCAGTGTGTGAAGCGAGAGCTTTGCCAGCCAGGCCATGGGGTTAAAGGATGTCCTAAAGTCCAAGGACAACCTATTTTGTGGTCATGATTTTAGAGGGGATGGGGCGATGTACTTTAATGACAAGCACTGTATGTTATATCATAATATCATACCATATGATAACTGAAGTAAAATTTGTGCTACTGTACTTAGAGAAACTGCTTGGGCGATCCACATTAAGTCTACATCAAACAGGGTAAATAACATGTACAGAGCCACAAAATAGTGTACAACTTATAACAGCAAAATAAATCATATACAAGTTTTATTGAAAAATATTTGTGATATGGACAATGCATGAATATGAATCATTGAAAAAGTCTAAAAGAAATAAATTATCTATTAAACATGCAAAAAGAATGCAGTACAAAATGTGCAAGAAGTGAAAACAAATTATACACAAACTGTACGCTGTCACATGCCTAAACCCACAAACACAATATAAAAGAATTAACCATAATATCTTTCAGTGTTTTCACCAAACCTAAAAATGCATGTCTTCTCTATTAAGAATTCGAAAGTAAAAATGCAAAATAAAAAGTGTCAGGCAAACGGACACATGGGCAATTAATAAGACATTTTATGTGGCAACGTTTCTAGAAACATCATTACAAAATAAAAATTACCTGATTCCCACTTTGTGCTTTTATCATGCAAAACCACCTTTGTTTTCTGTTAATCCTTGGCTTAACTAAGTGGCTGAATTGAACTGTAAACAATTTTACACCATATTTTAAAAACATGTTTAAACAATGTTAATTTCTTACACAAAATGCTCATATTATATTTATGAGGAAGTGTTAAACCCACAGGGGGTTATACAGTTCCTGGGAAATGAGTAATGGCAGGTAATCAGGTTTAATCTAAGTGGAGGGTAGAACTAATTCAATGGATAAAGAGCACTCCACTGGCATCAAGGCACTTCCTTTAACCCTTTGACTGTCGCAGGCCCCTTCCTGAAACTGTCATTCTATGTCGATAAATTTTTGAAAAAAAAAAAAAAAAAATTATTTTTCTTATGAAATGATAGAGAATCTTTTCCCGGTGGTAATGACACCAAAAGTTCGAAATTTGGTCGAAAACTCAGGGAATTACGCTTCTGCGAAGTTAGCGGTCTCGGCAACATATGCGTATCGGTGATTTCGCCGACTTTGAGCCCTGTTTTCAGCCAATTCCTTTGTTCCAGTTGACCAAATTCATAGCTATTTCTTTAGAACTCCATTTTATCTATCACCTGAGTACAAGAAACTGCCCATTTACCAATTTGAACTACCCAATATAGTGGTCAGAAATTGGCAAATTAAAAAAGATGCCAATTTCAAAAGAGGGTCCAGAATAAACAAGGTAGACATTCTTGGCACTAAAATAACATATCCTCTGTTCATTAGTCACATCTCTAGGCCCTTCTTACATTATTATTGCTTTCTATTTTGATTTTTTATTCATACAAAAAAGTACAAAATTTACTGGTATGCAGACTACTGCATTATTGTAAAAATGGTATAAATAATATCAGTGCACTAGTGAAAGAATATTAGACTCCCCAGTTGACGTGTATTGGACGTGTGGTGTGATTTGTTTACTCCTGAACACTGGTAAAAATCGAACATTTCCGCTACTTTGAGCTCAGTTTCAAGGTCGTTTTCATCGTCAAAGTAATGAAAATCATCTCTATTTCTGTAATATGTTTTCCATTTTATCACCTAAGACCATGAAAACGCGAATACAACGATAAATACTATACAAAAATGCACCTCAAAGTCGACGCTTTAATCCAAAAAAACGATCAATTTTTTTTTTCTCATTACGCACTGTGTGCTGCAGGATTTTTTTTATGTGGTGCACACTGACCACACAGACCCTTTCTCTCACATGTGGGCCTACCAGCTTTCTCCCGCTTGATTTGAAGCCGCTAGAATTGAGTATATATACGTCAGAAACAGTGGCTCGTAAGACGTATTTATACGACATAAACAGTCAAAGGGTTAAGGAGTCATATAAAAGTGGTCAGTGCAAACTAATTTATCAGGACTGAAATTTTTTGAAATGCTTCAGAAATTTCTGGGGAGAACAACTCTGAACTAAAGTGCAGCTATAAATACACATTTAAATTCAACAAAATTAAAATGTATGCTGCATGGTAACTTACAGGTCCATAGTGTTGATGGTAGAGTTTGGGCAGACGGTTTCTGTCTTCACATGGCATGGCTTGTGACACTTGAAGCCGCAGTCCCGGCAAACATAGCCTTGTTTTCCAAATCTTCTTCCTAACGTTTTATGACACACTTCACACGGTGTTGAACTGTGGTACAGAAGCAAGAGGAATGTTAAGTGGGGGAACGAATGTATTTGGAAAGAAAAAAAAAAAAGGAAAATTGAAAATGTATGGAAAAAATGTTTTCTTACCGAAAAATAGTGCATAATTCTGGCAACATATTGATGTAATCAGCTTGTTTGTATCTTATTTCTAAGTATATGTTTTTCCAAAAATGTAATGGTTTTGTCCTTTTGGTCATCAAGACATGCCAATTACTTTTTTTTTTTTTTACTCCAAAAATTACAATTTTTATGATTGTTTCTTTTCAAATACACAAAATGGCAACTTGTGTGTCGACTCCATATTAGTGTTCAGAGCGAGAGCCTATAGGCTGCCGTCAAGAGTGGTGATGTAGATGCTGAGATTTGGCGTGTCGTGACCATAGAATTTTACAGGAAATGTAATGTACATATACGAATAAATCAGGAATAAGTTATTGACATCGTTTTGTTGTTTTTGCGAAAAGTATTTACACGAGTGTCATGATATTTGCACACATTATTAAGGAATGATGGTTCTACTAAATTACAGAGGGATATTTTTTTACCATTTTGTTTGCATTGATTTTTTCCCCAAACAAAACAAAAAAAACCCACCAAACTTCAAATTTTTTATTATCCAATCTATTGACATCTCGCACAAACGACATTGATGAAATGATTGTCTAGCCCTTTATCTTTCATTTGATGTTAACTATAACATTATACGTCTAACCAATTTTGTAGAGGGAGAGTTTTATGCCCTCTAGAATAGGGTACTATTTTTTTTTTTTTTTTTTTAAGGAAAAATTCACTACAAACAGAGCGTAGGTTTCAAATGCTGATTAAATCACAGTATAAATTTCACTGAAACTGGAAAAAAAATAAAAAACAACTTAAAACATTCCCCACCCCCTTAAACTACATAAACTATTAATTAGTGGAAAAAGACAAAGAAAAAGGTTTCTTATGATTATTATGATGTTTCACCAACAAGGGGCTTTATCATGTATATGAAAAACCATAAAAGGTCTCCTTCTGGTAAACACATCTTTCCACCACTTGGCTCTCAGCTATACTCCAACAGTGTATTATTAGCTATGAAAGTTATGCAAAACAAAGTATATACAGTACAGTATATGGAATATACTAGACAATTCATCACTAAAACTTCAAAAATACTCACTACTAAACATACAACAACATTAATGAAAGCATAACACTACTGAAATGAAAATAAGTACCTGGACATATGTTTGGCAACAAAGTATGTTCTCCAAAGATGTGAAGCTTTAAGCCTTTCTTCCTCCATTTGCTCTTTTGTTGTAATGCCAAAGGAATCAGGTAATGTCTATGAAAAGAGGATAATGTTAAATTCTGTAATTTTAACTTATTTTAATATAACACCAACCATCTAACACCAAAAGTGTGCCCCTCCCCCCCAAAAAAAAAAAAAAATCATTCATTCAATGACTGTCTTGCCAGAAGTGTGACTGACATCACAGTTCAGACAATTCTCCAAACTGTAACATTCTCACCCCTCCTTTCGAGTGCCAGGCACTATACTTTCCTCCTCCAGAACTCAAGTTCTGCTAACCAGTTTCCCTAAATCCTTTCATAAACGTTACCTTGTTCACACTCCAGCAGCTCGTCAAGCCATAAAAACTACTTGTCTCCACTGACTTTGATCTAACACTTTTGCATAAGCCTGTTGGATGGTGAAGACACTAGTATTCAAAACCTTTTTTACCATCTTCCTCCAACCCTTCCTGGGACAACCCATACTGCTCCTTCCTTCCACCCCCCAGATTTTTATGCCTTTTTAGTCATCCTATTCAGCTCAATCCTTTCTAAATACCAAAACCACCTCAACAGCCCCTCCACAGAAGACGACGTGGTAACCCCACACCATCTTCTAATCTACTCGTTGCAAATTCTCTACATAATATTCACGCCAGACGCTGCTCTTAAACATGACATCTCAACTCCCTACAGTCTCTTCGCTGCAATGTTTGAAGCCCATGCCTCACTACAATGGAACAATCCCATTTTTGCCTCCACAGATAAAACATCTTTCTCTCCATGGATGCCTCAACACAATACAGTGGAACCTTTACTTGTCAGCGTGTCCATGTGCAAGTTTTTCCAAATACGAGCAGTTCATGGGTCAATTTTATGCTTCCATACGTGAGCAAAATTTCCATAAGCGAGCAGACCTCAAGGCAGGTTCCTTGACACTGGTGAGGGGCTCTTCCTCTTGACCTCGGGAATTGTATCTCATTTGTTTGTTGGACTATCTTAGTGAAACTTGGGCAATGTATGATGGAAAGATGCTTCTTAACGTACACCAAAAATGAAAGAAATCTAAGCATAAATAATGGAGTTCACTTCTCAGCAATTAGCCACCCCTTAGTGGTAATTTTGAATGGTTTTTATGGTTGTATCTTCTCGTTTTTTGGTCTCATTTGATAGAATGGAAGATATATTACAGAAATAGATATGATTTTGATTGCTTTCACGACGAAAAGTACCTTGAAATCGAGCTTAACGTACGAGAAATGGTCCATTGCTTGGCTGTTTCAGAGTAAACAAATGACATCACTGTCCATTCCAATATGCAGTCTTGAGTGGGTTGACATTATTTTTACAAATATTGCAATAAGGAATAACAGTAAATCTTATATTTTTTTGTGTGAATAAAAATTACAAATTTATATAATAATAATAATAATAATAATAATAATAATAATAATAATACGTATAATATGTATAATAATAATAGTATAATAATAATATAATATGTCCAGAGGGCTGAGGAAGGGTTGTTGAGGTGGTTCGGACATGTAGAGAGAATGGAGCGAAACAGAGTGACTTCAAGAGTGTATCAGTCTGTAGTGGAAGGAAGGCGGGGTAGGGGTCGGCCTAGGAAAGGTTGGAGGGAGGGGGTAAAGGAGGTTTTGTGTGCGAGGGGCTTGGACTTCCAGCAGGCATGCGTGAGCGTGTTTGATAGGAGTGAATGGAGACAAATGGTTTTTAATACTTGACGTGCTGTTGGAGTGTGAGCAAAGTAACATTTATGAAGGGATTCAGGGAAACCGGCAGGCCGGACTTGAGTCCTGGAGATGGGAAGTACAGTGCCTGCACTCTGAAGGAGGGGTGTTAATGTTGCAGTTTAAAAACTGTAGTGTAAAGCACCCTTCTGGCAAGACAGTGATGGAGTGAATGATGGTGAAAGTTTTTCTTTTTCGGGCCACCCTGCCTTGGTGGGAATCGGCCGGTGTGATAATAAAATAATAAAAAAATATATATATATATATATATATATATATATATATTATATATATATATATATATATATATATATATATATATATATATATATATATATAATATTATATATATATATATATATATATATTATTATATATATATATAATATATATATATATATTATACACACAGTGGACCCCGGTTAACGAACTTTTTTCATTCCAGTAGTATGTTCAGGTGCCAGTACTGACCGAATTTTTTCCCATAAGGAATATTGTGAAGTAGATTAGTCCATTTCAGACCCCCAAACATACACGTACAAACGCCCTTACATAAATACACTTACATAATTGGTCGCATTTGGAGGTGATCGTTAAGCGGGGGTCAACTGTATATATACAGTGGACCCCCGCTTAACGATCACCTCCAAATGCGACCAATTATGTAAGTGTATTTATGTAAGTGCGTTTGTACGTGTATGTTTGGGGGTCTGAAATGGACTAATCTACTTCACAATATTCCTTATGGGAAAAAATTCGGTCAGTACTGGCACCTGAACATACTACTGGAATGAAAAAAGTTCGTTAACCGGGGGTCCACTGTATAATAATAATGTACTACATATAATAATAATAATAATATTAATAATAATAATAATAGACAGCTTCAAAAGGCCGTCACTAGATGGCAGTGTTTACCACAACAGAGAGGGAGTGGTTGTGGCTGCCTCTACCTGTTACATGACACATTTTATTCATTTAAGAGTATATATATCAGGTTTCTATGTTATTTATATTGTTTATTATGTCATATTAGATGAAGTGAGATAGATAAATAAGCCGTAGAGTTGATATTAGCGAAATTACTGAAGTACAGAATTTCACTGGAAGGGATTAATTGCATTTCAATTAATTTAAATGAGGAAAATTGGCTGCAAACGAGCAAATCCAGTTGCGAGCAAGGTCATGGAACAGATTAAACTTGCAAGTAGAGGTTCCACTGTACTTACCTTATTTAAGAACAGTTGAGCACTGCAGTAGGGCTAATGACCTATGCTAAGCAGGTCCAATTCATACCTAGCATTGAAGAATTAGGCACATGTGCAACATCTGGGTATCTTTATTTGTGTCTAATTCTTCATCTTGCCAGTATTGTATACCATTTATGTACACCTAACTATACCCACTTATATAAATGTCCAGCCTATATTTAAAGCTACTCAAAATTCTCACTTCAATAAAGTTCCCTTCATCTATTTTATGGTTTGCCTCATCTTGGACAAACCCGTCTGCTAACACTTTGACTATCAAATATCTGAATACATACATTTACTATGCCTACCTACCTACATACATACATATACACTTATGTATATATGCATGTATACATATACATGCATACATGCATGCATGCATATATACATAAAAAACAATACAACACAGACATCACACTAAAAAATTTTTTTTTTTATTAACACACTGGCCGATTCCCACCAAGGCAGGGTGGCCCGAAAAAGAAAAACTTTCACCATCATTCACTCCATCACTGTCTTGCCAGAAGGGTGCTTTACACTAGTTTTTAAACTGCAACATTAACACCCCTCCTTCAGAGTGAAGGCACTGTACTTCCCATCTCCAGGACTCAAGTCCGGCCTGCCGGTTTCCCTGAATCCCTTCATAAATGTTACTTTGCTCACACTCCAACAGCCTGTCAAGTATTAAAAACCATTTGTCTCCATTCGCTATCAAACACGCTCATGCATGCCTGCTGGAAGTCCAAGCCCCTCGCACACAAACCCTCCTTTACCCCCTCCCTCCAACCTTTCCTAGGCCGACCCCTACCCCGCCTTCCTTCCACTACAGACTGATACACTCTTGAAGTCATTCTGTTTTGCTCCATTCTCTCTACATGTCCGAACCACCTCAACAACCCTTCCTCAGCCCTCTGGACAACAGTTTTGGTAATCCCGCACCTCCTCCTAACTTCCAAACTACGAATTCTCTGCATTATATTCACAACCACAACATTGCCCTCAGACATGACATCTCCACTGCCTCCAGCCTTCTCCTCGCTGCAACATTCATCACCCATGCTTCACACCCATATAAGAGTGTTGGTAAAACTATACTCTCATACATTCCCCTCTTTGCCTCGAAGGACAAAGTTCTTTGTCTCCACAGACTCCTAAGTGCACTGCTCACCCTTTTCCCCCTCATCAATTCTGATTCACCTCATCTTTCATAGACCCATCCGCTGACACGTCCACTCCCAAATATCTGAATACATTCACCTCCTCCATACTCTCTCCCTCCAATCTGATATCCAATCTTTCATCACCTAATCTTTTTGTTATCCTCATAACCTTACTCTTTCCTGTATTCACTTTTAATTTTCTCCTTTTGCTTACCCTATCAAATTCACCCACCAACCTCTGCAACTTCTCTTCAGAATCTCCCAAGAGCAAAGTGTCATCAGCAAAGAGCAACTGTGACAACTCCCACTTTATGTGTGATTCTTTATCTTTTAACTCCATGCCTCTTGCCAAGACCCTCGCATTTACTTCTCTTACTACCCCATCTATAAATATATTAAACAACCAAGGTGATATCACACATCCTTGTCTAAGGCCTACTTTTACTGGGAAATAATCTCCCTCTTTCCTACATACTCTAACTTCAGCCTCACTATCCTCGTAAAAACTCTTCACTGCTTTCAGTAACCTACCTCCTACACCATACACCTGCAACATCTGCCACATTGCCCCCCTATCCACCCTGTCATACGCCTTTTCCAAATCCATAAATGCCACAAAAACCTCTTTAGCCTTATGTAAATACTGTTCATTTATATGTTTCACTGTAAACACCTGGTCCACACACCCCGTACCTTTCCTAAAGCCTCCTTGTTCATCTGCTATCCTATTCTCCGTCTTACTCTTAATTCTTCAATAGTAACTCTACCATACACTTTACCAGGTATACTCAACAGACTTATCCCCCTATAATTTTTTGCACTCTCTTTTGTCCCCTTGCCTTTATACAAAGGAACTATGCATGCTCTCTGCCAATCCCTAGGTACCTTACCCTCTTCCATACATTTATTAAATAATTGTACCAACCACTCCAAAACTATATCCCCACCTGCTTTTAACATTTCTATCTTTATCCCATCAATCCCGGCTGCCTACCCCTTTCATTTTACCTACTGCCTCACGAACTTACCCCACACTCACAACTGGCTCTTCCTCACTCCTACAAGATGTTATTCCTCCTTGCCCTATAACGAAATCATAGCTTCCCTATCTTCATCAACATTTAACAATTCCTCAAAATATTCCTTCCATCTTCCCAATACCTCTAACTCTCCATTTAATAACTCTCCTCTCATATTTTTAACTGACAAATCCATTTGTTCTCTAGGCTTCCTTAACTTGTTAATCTCACTCCAAAACTTTTTCTTATTTGATATTCCTTGTGTTTAAATAGCCCTCTCCAGAAGTTCAAGCAAATGAAAGGATAAAAAATGTAGAATACATACAATGAAATGCAATAAATTCAGAAAATGACAAAGTTCTTTATGCTTAATTAGTCTAAAGATATTTATTCTGTGCATCTCCCTAAAGCACATTCAACAGTCCCAAGGTAGACTTGTTCAAGTAGCTGTTTCTCAGCGTAACAAGCTTCTTTATATATATCATTTCTAAAATTTTTAGTATATAGCCTATAAATGGAATACATCATAAAATACTCACTTAAAGACACCATTCTCACTGGTCTCTATAATAAGTGTTGAGGCTTCATTAACATATGTACGGGTGGAAGAACTGCTAATGGCCGAGGCATCACTCAGAGACGATCTTGTGGACCCTCCATCACCGCTGATATTGGCTGGTACTGAGAGCAGCCCTGATAAATATAAATATTGCTATTTATTACTAGTCAACTCAAAAATTAATAGGTGTTAGATAACTGCCAAGTATATGGGTGTATCAGTTTTATTAAAAGACTGCTATATTTAAACAAACTGTTTTTAAACTACTGTAAATACAAGTGGCAGTTAAAATGGACATTCAATATATCAACCATACAGCACAGGTACATATTTAAAGTAAATAACGGATATGAAGTATAGTACAGTACAATACTCTAACACATGCAATCTTTGTTTTAATGAAGGAGCAATAACTATTCAGAATGTTTTTTTATATCCCCTTCCCCACAAAGTAGATGCACATATAAAATGCTTCATTTTTATTTAAACTTCATATTGCTTTTCCATTTAATGATGCAGACCATAATCCAATGAAACCATTTTCAAATATTTAAGCCAAGTAACTAATACCTTACTTAACTAAATCACAAACCTACATGTAAATGTTATTTCTAAACATTTGGAAAACTAGCTCAGGAACTGTCCAGTGTTCTCTGACTATCTAGGGTGGAACTAACCATTACATCTAAAGGAAATTGTTACATTAAGGATTAAATGCCCTAGCAGGAAATACTCAAGTCTACGGCTATGTTACTCTTTCACAAGGACAAACTTTGGCAAACAGATTCAAACTTGAATGTTTTATTTATAACCAAACATGACTAACTTCAGGTGAATCTTGCCATTTCCCAATTAATGTTAAAATTAAATACAATGGTTCCTCAATCTGCAAGGGTTCAGGAGGTAAACCAGCTGGTACACTTTATTTGTTTTAATACCAAATACTAGAAAAGCAGGGAAAGGGAAGAGGGAAAAATTTTGCAGGTACTATATGTGGTTTATTTCAAGGTGAGGTCCCATGTTTGACATTCATGACTAAATATTCAAATTTCAAACCAACACCCACAGAATCTTAAAAAAAAAAAAAAAAAAAAATAATGTAGCAGTATGAACTTTCAAGCTGCTTTAGTTTTTATTAATAGAGGGTTTATATCTATTCTAAAGAACATCTTTTGAAACTCAGAAAGACTATGGAAACAGTAAAAAAATCTTGATACAGAGTCCCTGTCAATGATTGTTTTTATATCGTTACAAGCCTGCTAGCACTCAAAGGAACACTGAATTTTTTCCAATATCATTTTATTATATTTTTATTATTATTTAGATTGTTTGGGACCTTTGATTTCATATTAAAATCAGGTCTCAATAACTGTAATAACATATAATATGGGAAGGAGTCCCTCTGAAATGCATGACTGCAAATATGCAAAAATACCACAGTGAAATAATAAATTATCCAAGCACTTTCCTGCATCAAGCATCTTCAAAACAACTTAAGTGGGCATAAGCACACGAAAGAATTTAAGTAATATTCTACTTTTATATCAACGAGGTGTTTACTGCATACAGTGAAACCTTGACTTAAGAGTTTAATCTGTTCCGTGACCCAACTTGTAACTCAATTTGCTCGTATATCAAATCAATTATCCTCATTTAAATTAACTGAAATGGCATTAAACTGTTCCAGTGGAATTCCTGCTCTCAGGAGGCAGGACAAAATACTTCAATATAACGCTAATATCAACTCTACGGCTTATTCATCCATCACAATTGATCTAATATGACATAATAAACAATATAAATATGTAACATAGAAACCTGATATTTTATTTTTTATATTAACCCTTTCAGGGTTGGCAGGGCCTCTCCCTAACTTGTCTCAGGCGTTGGAAATTTAAAAAAAAAAAAAAAAAAATAATTATTTTTTCTTATGAAATGATAGAGAATCTTTTCCCGATCATAATGACACCAAAAGTATGAAATCTGATGGAAAACTTACGGTATGTTATGCTCTCGCGAAGTTGCGGTCTTGACGATGGTTTACACTCAGCGATTTTGCCCCACTATGAGCTATTTTCGGCAATTCCATGTACCAGTCGACCACAAAATCATACCTATTTCACTGAACTCCGATTTTTTTCTATCGAATGAGTACAAGAAACCACCATTGTAGATTTCACTATCCAATAAAGTGGTCAGAAATTGGCAATTTTGCCAATTTCACACAAAATAAATTTCAAAAGATGCCATTTCCAAATAGGGTCCAGAATAACAAACAGACATTTCTGCACAATATAATAATTTACTCTGTTTTATTACTATGTTCTCAGGCCTCTGTTACATTTCTTTTGCTTTTCCACTTTGAATTTTTATTACCCTCCAATAGAAGATTTATGTTATGCGACTACTGCATTCGTGTAGAAATGGCGTAGAAATGGTTTAAATAATATCAGCACACTTGTGAAAGAATATTACACTCACGAGTTGATGTATTTGGTATGTGTGGCATGATTTGTTTCACTTTGAACTTTGGCAAAAAATAAACATTTTGCTACTTTGAACTCAATTTCAGGTTACCTTTCAATTGTGGTGAAACCAATCAAAATATCTCAATTTCCATATTATTATTATTTATTATAATCAAAAGAAAGCGCTAAGCCACAAGGGTATACAGCGCGCAGGGTAGGGAAGGAAGCAAGGGAATTGGATGGCAGGAGGGGAGGGGGGTGATCAGCAGGTACAGAAAACAGCGGGGCAGGGGATATTACGGGGTAGAGGTTTAGAAGAGATACAAAGTAGAAAGGGCTGAAAGTCATCAGAATTTGTGAAGTAGTCAGTCGTTAGTCAATAAGTCTATAAGAGAGTCCGGATTGAAAGGTTGGTCTCCATCAGCGAGAAGGGAAGGTAAAAGGATGAGAGCAGCGGGCGGAAGACGACGACAGAGGTACAATTCTGCGTGCTCGTTGATAAGTGGCCCAGTCCAACAGGAATGTGGGCTTGACTGATAATGGACGTTTGGCAATTCTCACAGAGAGGCGAGCAAGACGCCTCTCCATGAGATATCCATGAGAAGACGAGTATTATGGCCAATGCGAAGACGGGAGAGAGTAGTCTCCAACCTCGACACTGGGATAAGAAGACGGCCCAGTAACCTTATACTCGGTTTAATAGACTGAAGTTTGTTGCCGGCATAGTAGACCAACGTGTTGCAACGGGTGTGAAGGTGGGAAGATATTTCGCAAAATAGTCCGTACATGGAATACCTCTATAAGAAACTGGTAGTAGGTCATGTACTGCTGACCGCGCAGCAGTGTCTGCCTGTTCATTCGCCCTGTACGTCAACTGACCAGGGACCCAACAAAAAAACAATATCTTTATGCTAGTAAAGATGCGGCGTAGTCCAAAGTTGGATTACGGAGACTAAGGGGTGATGTGTATCAAATTTTTTGTATTAGCCTGTAAAGCAACTAAGGGGAGTCTGAGACAACCACCAAAATGATGCCCGGCCTACTCTGCCCCCCTACGGATAAGTGCTGTAAGGATGGCATATAATTTCAGCCAGTAAAATACAGCTGAAGATAGTAAATGCCCTTTAACGTACGACGCTGGTCGGAAAAAACACTGCTGCGAATCCTACGCCGTCAGAAGAACTTAGAGCCATTCTGTGTACACAGCAATGGCAGAGAATGAGAGTGAAAGTGGTCAAGAAAAAGAGAGCGGGAAGGACCGTAGACAGTTGGGCTTTCGGCAAGGGAAGGGGAGAAAGAACAGACTCGAACAGCTGGAACTTCCCAGGGGGGTAGGGAAAAAAGTGAGGATGTACATGTACATAGAAAGGTGGTAGTTGAAGAGAAGACAAGAGCGAATGAAGGCGAGAGGAGAAGGGACCGGAGTAAGCAGGGGCGCGAACAAATAAAGAATGTCTATAATATCAGTGACCATTCTATAAATGGAAGGATTGCGGAGTATCATGAGAGCGTACATAGTTTAGCGCAGGCAATGGGCATCCACGGACGATCGGGACAAGGATGGAACGTTCGCTTCTGGCATTGGGCTTTCGACCAGGGGAGAGCGAAAAAAGCACCAATGCATAAACGTAATCCTTGGTGATGAATGGGGATAGGCATAGAGAGAGTAGCAGGAGATGCCGACTGAATAGATCTGGTACCATAATCAAGTTTCGATAAAATAAGGGTGAATGTAGGTGAAGGAGGGTTCGACGACGATCAGTCCCACGAAGATGAAGCAAGGGTTTTAAGGAAGGTTCAGACGGCTGTGACAAGTTGCTTCAGAGAGGTAAATTTGGGGGGTTTTTTTGGGTTTCCAGGATAACCTACGATCAAAGAGGAGGCGAAACTTGACTGTATCACGTTCAGGGATACGTGAGCCATAGAGGTAACAAAAGGATGATCAGAGATGACTGAGGTCCATAGTGAAAGTGATTTGGTGGGTGTGTTAGTGCTGGAAATTTAAAACCACATGTGTGGTGTGCCACAATTGGAAACACGGTCGACTTGCATGCTGGAGAGAAACAGTAGGGAGGAGACAGTCAGCGCCGCACAGGCAATAGCGAAGTCATCAACATAGAGTGATGACCAAATATTTGATGGAAGGACTAGAGCCAATCATTAATAGCAAGGAGGAAAAAGTGTTGTGCTCAGAAACAATCCCTGGGGGAACCTTCTAGCTTGGACAAAGTCCGGGGAGGGAGAGCACATTATTAACCCGAAACCGGAAATGCCGGTCAGTTAAAAAAGTTTTCTTAAGGAAGGGATGGTGATTGCTCGAAGGTCCTATGGATGGACTTGGGCTAAAATATTATACCTCCAAGTTGTGTCATATTGCCTTTTCTCAAGGTCAAAAATTATGGCAATTAACTGAGTGTTATTCGCAAGGCATTAGAAACATATGTATCCAAGCGCCAGTAAGGGTTATGGTAGAACGTTTCCTACGAAAGCCATATTGGACGAGTGGGAGAGACTGTTGTTTGAGGTGTGTCTCTAAATACCACACTAAACGTCTATTTACATAGACGTTCCATTTCTTGACAATACTGCACTGGTAAGAGCAATGGACGTAGTGGGAGGTTTCATGTCCCAGTAGTGCCTGGTTTGCGGAAAGGGGAGAACAATGG